GCCATCTCGGCGGTCAGGGCCTCGGCGGCGTCCTCGGCGGCGTCCTCGGCGGCGGCAGGGCAGAGGCTTCAGTCAGTCCGCCAGCGGTGTGGGCGCGCGGCGTGCGCTGGTCCTTCCGGATGCATCCTGCGGACCGAAAGAGAGTCAGAACAGTTAGCCGCGGGGTTAGCGTGTCGGGGCGGCGTCGCGGAGGCCGCGGGTTCGAAACCGCCAACGGCCTCTCTGCGTTTCGCGTGACGGCGTGGCCGCTGCCGATAGCGACGCTGTACGGCGGAAATTTCCATATTATTCGCAGCGACATGAATAAGGGCGGCACGACGCATGGCGCAGAGCAGTGCTCCACAGTGCAGTGCGTGCACGCCGAGCACGGGGAAGGACAAGGGAAAGCAAACGGCCTTCGTTTGGATTCTCATATTTTTCCGCGGAGACGGGTGGAGTGTGCAATGGGGCGGGTGGAGCCAGCAGGCGGCTGCAGGCAGGCAGCCATCCCCCGACGACTCGGTTTGTTGTGGCGCGGCGTTCGATTTGCAGTGCTGAGCCCTCCTTGCCCCGGGGAGCTGTTTGTTTTGCATCGGCCGCGCCTCTGCCGGGCAAGCCGAGCGCCAGCGCCGCGCCGCGCCCTGACACTGACGCAAGCCATCCTCCAGGAAGAGGCCGCCCTTGTCCTGCTCAGTGTCACGCAGCCCGCATCATAACGCGCTCGGACAGGCCGCCGTTCAGAGCGTCTCGCCATGCTCGCCCACCTTCCCCCGAGGGGAGGCCGAGGCCGAGGCGGAGCACAGTGGGCCAGAAGCCGGTGGAGGCGGCCAAAACTCTAGACGTGTTTTGAGCTCCAGAGTCGCTAAATAGGACTCGAACCGAACGTGTGACCCCTCCAATGGATTCCTCGCTCGAAAAGCAATCCATTGGTAGGGTCACACGTTCGGTTCGAGTCCCATTTAGCTACTCTGGAGCTCAAAACGCGTCTAGGGTTTTGGCCGCCTCCACCGGTCTTCTGGCCCACTGTGCGGACGACTGCGCCGGGTTTTGGATTCAGCGTCCAGCGGCGTCCGTCGCCGTGGCGGCGAATACCGATTGTTTTCAATCCATATCACTTGGCGAAGGTGCTGCACCGCCCGGCACCGCCGCAACAGTCGCAGCATGGGGATGGCGATGAGCGTGATGGGGAGGGGGAGGGGGTGCGCGCGGACGGCGCGGACGCGACCCTCGACACGACGCGCAGCACGCACAGCACGCGCGTGACGCGATGCCCCACCGCGAGAACGAGCAAACGCTCCTCGGGGGGTGCTGCCCGCGCTGCCGAGCGATTTCGAATAGTCGGTTCGTCACTCTGCCTCTCTCGCACCCCTACGGAACGCCCCGTGAGTGCGACAGAGACAGTGCGACGAGACGCTGATTCGTCTGCCGCCGCTGGAGAAGCACGCCGTCGCTGTTCCAGCGTCCCCGGTGCGGCCGGCAGACTGATTTCGAAAGCGTTTTCGTTGTTCTGTCTCACTCGCACCTGTGCGGGACGCGCTTTGAGCGCGAGAGAGACAGAGCGACGCTCTCGGAATCAGTCTGCAAGCGTCCCTGACGGGGACAACAACCCGCTACGCCGCGCCACCGCGTCGCCGTTCCAATTTGGCCGACTCGCCGACTCGCTCCTCTCCTCGCTTCTTGTTGTTTTCCCGGGGTGGAAGTGCTGCGGCAGGTAGAGCTTAGAGTAAAGGGTTGGCGATGGCGGGCGCACAGTGGGCCAGAAGACCGGGGAGGCGGCCAAAACCCTACACGCGTTTTGAGCTCCAGAGTCGCTAAACAGGACTCGAACCAAACGTGTGACCCCACCAATGGATTCCTTGTTCGGAGAGCAATCCATTGGTGGGGTCACACGTTCGGTTCGAGTCCCATTTAGCGACTCTGGAGCTCAAAACGCGTCTAGAGTTTTGGCCGCCTCCCCGGTCTTCTGGCCCACTGTGAGGAGGGGCCCACTGTGAGGAGGGGCCCACTGTGAGGAGGGGCCCACTGTGAGGAGATGAAAGATGCAAGCGCGAAGGCAAAGGGCAGAGGGCAGAGGGAAAGGGGTCTCGATCTGCTGGCGCTGCCTTTCCTTTCCGCTCCGCACTGCTTGCCGGGGCTCGTGATTGGCTCCCCGGGGACCCTCGCGTTTAACGACGTCGCTGGTTAATGAGGGCACCTCATGCTTACACGGCGCATTAAAACATTCGGCCCGGATGCAATGCCACTAACAAAATGTATTTCAAAATGTTTCCTCTTTTTTTTGTGTGTGTGGCCGCCGCCGAGCTATGAACCTGTCTACACGGCGCGAGCAACAGCACTTCCCTGGTCCTGACGTCTGAATGCCCCTGGAAAGGAAGGGAGGGGGAGGGGGCGTTTTTAATCGCCTTTGTCTGGCCATGTCTGAGCGAGGGGGAGCACGGCGGCGCGGCGGCGGCGCGACTGTGGGACCGAACTGATTTTCAGAGCGGATTATCAGTCGCGGCTCGGGCGGCCAGACAGAGGTGGCGAAGAGCAGACCCTCTCTGGTGGGCGGCACCGCCATCACGTTCGTCTTCTGTCTCTCTCGCACTCACTGGCAGTCCACAAAGAGCAACAAGGACCGTCTGGAAGAAAGTTACGTAATGGGTGGACGACCCCCAAGCTCCAGGAGCACGTGTACAAGGAGGGCGGTGCAGCCACCCAGCCCCCCAAACCGATGCACAGCCGAGCCATTCAGAAAATCGGTTTGTTTCTCTGTCTCTCTCGCACCTGCTGGGGACGCCCCACAAAGACTTAGTGCACCAGAAACAGCAACGAAACGACTGAATCGCACTGAACCGCGAGGTGCATTTGTTGCATCCGAATGTAAATGCAGAGGGTGTGGCAGGCCCATTCCGAGCAGTGCTTTCATCGCTCTCTCTCTCTCTCTCTCTCTCTCTCTCTCTCTCTCTCTCTCTCTCTCTCTCTCTCTCTCTCTCTCACTCGGAGCATTCCGGAGGGGTGCGGGAGAGACAGAGGCACTAGGGCGCGGCGCCTGCGCCGGCCTTCTTTGTCTCCGCGGGGGCGCGGTGGGAATCTAAGCCGCGCCGTGCTGCGTGCTGCGGGGCCCGGCACTCCGCGCGCAAACAAATGGGAATTGTTAAATCTAATCCGGTCATTGCTGATTGGAATTAGCTCGCCGTGATCCATGCATCCCCGTGTGTGCTCAGCTCAGCGGGTCGGGCAGGGCGTGCCCTTCGTCCTCGCAGTCCTCGCGTGCGCCGCGGCCCAGCCGAGCGATTCACGAGATCGGTTTGTCGTTCTGTCTCTCTCGCGCCCCTAGGAAGAGTCCCATGAGTGCGACAGAGACAGAGCAACGGCCCGACTCCTCTGAACCGCCCGGCAGTCCGCGCCAGTGCAGTCGCCCAGCCACACGGAGGGAAAGGCGGGCTGGCTAATTATGCCCCGATTGTCCCTTTTTCCTGTTGGTCGGCATGGCTGCGTGCACCGCGTGCCGTGTCGCCGGGTCGATGGCACCAGACTGTCTGGCCTGTCTAGCCGCGCGCCGCGCAACAGCATCTCTGTCGTGACTGTACCCCGTGGGGCGGCGCGAGGGGGCGGGGGCGGGGGCGGCGCGGAGGGGGCGTGGCGTATCGATCACAACAACCGCCACAAGTGCCACAACCGCTACGACAACCACCTGCCCGGCAGCCCCTTGGGCAGCCCCGTCGGCCGCTGTCGGCCCTGCCCGGCGAGCCTCGAAGGCAGCCAAAGGTGCAACGGGGACGCTGGCGCTGAAGCAGGCCGACGGGGCGGGGCGAGGCCGGCGAGGCCGCCATGCTCGCCGCCGTGCGGGCGTTGACTGTACTCCACTCCTCTTACCTGTGCGTGTACTCGACGCCCGGCGCGCAGCAGGGTGGCGATGCCCAGAGTAATCCTTTGTCACTGTCACACGGTCCTCAAGACGGTCTTGGCCTCGCGGCTCGCGGGCCGCTTGCTCGCGCGCGCGCCTTCAACCCATGCCGCCGGCCTTCCCCGAGCGCGACTGGCGGCGAGCGGCGTCCAGCCCCGCGCGAACGGGGCGGGGGCACTCGGCGGGGCCCCAGCAGGCTGGCCATAAGGGCCGCGGGTACGACACGACTCCGACTACGGCATGGGCTACCCCTCGGTGTCAAGCAAAGCGCGCCAAGCCGCAAGCACTGCCCGGACTGCGTTAGCAGCGATCGATCCTGCTTCCTACTTCGCTCCGGCACCCGGCAGTCTGGTTGCGCCGGGCTTTGCCGCCTTGCCGGCCGGGGCGTAAGGTGGAGGGCGTGGCGCGGCCGGGCGCGGCGGGGCGCACCGTGCCGGCGCGGCGTCGCGGTGCGCGGACCGCGCGGACGGACGGGACGGGGCGACCACGACGACGAGGGAGCGCGAGCCTTTGCTGGCCTTGCCGAGCCGCGCCTCCAACTGGCGCTCAGCCACCGCACCGCTCAGCCAGCCACCCGGCACAGCGCGCAGCGGCGCAGCACGGCGTCGGAGGGAGGGAAGGAGGGACGCCGCGCCGGAGTGGAGGACGAGGACAGGGAGGACACGCCGGGAGCGCTGGGGGCGGCGGCGTCGGCGGCAGCGGCGGCGGTAGTGGCGGTGCGGGGGCGGCGCGGCAGTGCATGCACCCTGCCCTGCAGCCCGCTCCCGCTACAACCACCGCGCCGCCAGCCACCCCTCCGCCGCCTCCCACTCGCCGGGCCATGTTGTTGTTTGGGAAGGCAGGAGGAGGCAGAGGGCGATGAAGGAGGGGAGGGAGAGGAAGTCGACCCTTTCCTTTTCCCTTTGGCTTTGCGGCTCACGCCGCTGCAGCCCGAGAAGCGCGAGGGGTGGGTGGAGGCGTGGAGGAGCTTCGGGAAGCGGACAGGGAGAGCAGATGAGTGCGAGAGAGACGGGACGCGAACGCGGCGCGAGATCTGTCAGGGAGGCGGACACGGCCGCAGGACGTGGATGCACCCCTGAAGCACACCGTTCCGTTCAATAAGGAGAAAGGAATATGTTTACAAACAAACCAGTCATGCGTAAAATTAAAGGGATCTATTTAGCAATGAACGAATCAGTACAATTTTGTTTCACCCCCACAACAACAGAAATCACAATGCGCAAAAATGACTTGATATTACCACTAAACTAGAGACAATTATTGAAAACAGATAAAGTTGTTATGACACTCCAAAAGCTCCGTCTTCAATGAAGATCACAGTAGCAAATCTTAATGCTAATAGTTTTTGATGGTTTAAATGAATGACACAAGATCTTTGCCAAAGAACAAAACTTCAGAAAGTAGAAAGACAATTCCATGCAAAAAGAATGACTTATTCAAATGACTTCATGAAATTGAAATGAAGGACAATGGTGCTCTTTCTGGAGGGTACACCCAATTTGTACCATATCAGATGAGGTAAAAAGTATTGAACAGCCAACCAATCCACAAAGGGTAACCTAGAACTACATCCCATGACCATGCTCCTTTCTTAAGCAGCAGCTTACCTACCCCAAACAGGTCTTTCAATGAGCAATTCTACTAAAACTATAGGAAGAAATCATAATATTTTAATAAAGATGTATGAACCCACAAATAAAGATTAACAGCAAGTTTCAATTTCAGTTCCATGAAAAATCTTTTTTTCAAAAGTTAGCACTGATAAAAGGACCTTAGGAAAATTCATATAAATTTGTTATTACTATTATTATAACAATAAAGGAAGCAGTGAAACACTCAAGTCCCACACAATAAGTTTTTTTCCACTTGATTAAGCTACACAAAATTAAGTACAATACTTTCTATTTTCTACAAAGGTTAATAATTTCACAGCACATTTCTTTAAGACAATCAATTCAAGCTCCTAGAAGTTTCTTTCCTCATAACAATGTGACAATTTGTTCTCCTCTTTTCTTAAGTTACCTATCATTATGGCACACTGCGTACTGGTTTGCTGAATTTCCTGCAAGTAGCTGCTTCATCCAAAGACTCTGAACCAACTGCAGACAAAAGATGCTAAATTAAAATAAATCCATTGGGCAACAATCAATTATATTGAGACAAGAAAACTATCTCAAATAACTTACTTGAATTGGATTCTCTATTGTGCAAGACATTGTCATTGACCTGATGGATGTGAGGAGAGTTGCTGGAAGACTGAGACCAATCACTCTCCAAACAAAGGCCTAGACAAGGAAAACAGATTGTTCTTTTAGAGTCTTTATTAAATAAACATGTAAAGACAAAGTTTTAAATCTTTGCTTACCTGAATAGAGATACGACTCATCTGATTGAGACATATCTTCGCTGATGATGGATGGAGACAAAGATGAAGAAGAAAGATCGAGCCAATCTAGATGACTTAAATAGGTCTGTTTTGGCTTGCATTTTATAACAATAGGCCTTGTCTTGGAGTTCCTTGAAGTTGCTCCAATCAACTGGAGGAATTCGTTGGTGGAATCTTTCACGTCTGAGGGCACACCTGCCTCGAACTGAGAGTCACTTGGACCATAGGCATCCTTGTCAATCAAGCATAAGGCATCTTTAGCCTCCTTCAGCCCCAAATTCGAGGCCAAATTGAGCAATTCCAGTGCTCTGTTGTGATCTTCGCAGAGACCACCCCAGCCATTTGCTAAAAACACAGCAAGGTTGTACATGGCTGTGGGATGGCCGCGGTCACTCCCAATCTTGTACCATTTAGCAGCCTGTAGTAAATATAAAAATACAAAACTTAGATGTTTCACAAATTATTAGTAACGAGTTGCTATGTTTTCTGATGGCCAATCACTTACCTTTTTAAGATTACGGACAGTACCCAAGCCAAGCTCATAGCATTGGCCCAGGTTATAAGCAGCAACAGCATGTTCATGATGAGAGGCACGACGAAAATGCTTCATAGCCTCAGTGTGGTGTCCATTGGCCATGCACACCATCCCCAATTTGTTTTCAACATCACCAGAGAGAGCCCTGCTTGCTGCTTCAAATACTCGAGACACTTCATCCAAGGCCTATTACCCCATAGAAAAATACAAAATGTGTTACAAAATAAGAGAAACAAATCTGACCAGAAAATCAACATGAAACTCACCTCTTCTGGAGTAAAAGGACCCCTTTGAGGAGAAAACACTTCATCAGTGCTTGATGACGATGTTAAGCTGCTATTGAAACTGGTGGCATGGCTTGCCTCTCCCTCAAATGAAGAACTGTAAGATGTAGGACGTATTCCCAATGGTTGGATAGGAGACTGTGCATGAACTATTCGTCCAAGTGGAAAATAGTGAGAAGAATGGAGCCTCCTATCTTTCAGATAAGAATCACCAAAAATACGTCGGCCAAGCGGTTTGCTCAAGTACCAACCTAGTACTAATGCAGTGCTCTGAAAAAATACAATTCATGTTAAATCTTGTCAACAAAACATGAAACAAAGGGTCCTAAAGTTACGGTTTAATTAAATCTAATAATTACCCATCCCATCGCCATAGCCCCCAAGCATGTGATAGGAGGTTCACGCCACTTGGCATGAGTCTTGTGTCGCTGCTGTCTTTCTCCAGTGTGCTCATGACTGGTTGCTCCATGCCTTGCTGCTTTAAGGTGCTTGAGAGGACAGTACGTCTTCAGTTGCGGGATGATGCTGGAAATCGGCCCATGACATGGTATCTTGCGTCTTTTGGCAGGGCCAGACCTTGTATTCGAGTTCGAGACATCACTACGGAAGACGGTAAAGCCCACCCGTCTTTCCACAACATCACACACAGAACGGGAAAATGCCTTCCACATTTTGCTTCAGGATTACTCGAGTTGCGGGAACAGCTGAACAACAAAATATAATATGGTTTAGAAAGTAACTGGGACTTTGACATCAACCGTCAGGTAGAAGGTAACCAGTGAAACACAAGAACAATCCAAAAACAATTTACAGATAGCAGACTAAAAAGAAACTAACCCTGTTGTTGAGCATAGGGAGAATGATGTTTGGTAAAATTCTCCCTCTGTTTTACCTTGTCACCAAAATGATTGTAGATGTTTTTGAACAGAATGTACCGTTCAACATCATACTACTTAAATTTTTGAAGTGAAACGAGCGTTTCGCAGGTAAAGAAAAGCGCAGACTGGTTTCGGTCAGACCTTCCACAAACACAGGCAGGCAAACACAGCAAAGGTTAGAGGAAGGAGGAAGGAGGAAGGGGAGGAAGAAGAAGAACAACAGACGAGCATCAAAAAGGTGAAAACTACTAACACCAAGCCATAGTGTTGTTTTTTCGCCTAAACCACGAACCGAAGTAAAAGCAATGTAAAACAAGTTATAAATATTCAAAATGGTCCAATCCTTTATACATTCCACCTCTGCAAATTCCACCTTGCAGCTCGTTTGGTGTAGGGTCCCTAGTTTGGTGTGGTAAATTTGTTCCCTTTAGTTGGCAGCCCAGCTTTCGCGCCGTTTCCTTTCCGCGCGCAACATCCGTGTTTTTCCTCTGTGCCGAGAGAAGCGAGAAGCGAAGGGTGGCTGCAAGCGTTGGTGTTGTGAAGTTGCGGCTATTGTTGATGCTTTAGCGTCTCTCTGTTTGTCAAAGAAGTCTTGTCGTTTCGTGATCAAAATTAAATTGTGAAGTCAACATGGATGAAGACTTACCTTATCGTGCCGAGTATGCTAAAAGTGCTCGAGCCTCCTGCAAAACCTGCAAAGGCCCAATCGCTAAGGATGTCCTTAGGCTCGCTGTGCTAGTGCAGGTAAAATATCAAAATAAACTTCGTCACCATTGCTAATTCGTTTTCGGTTGAAGGTTACGCTAGCCAACGACGTATTTCAATGTTCCTTGTGCAGCCGGTTTCCGATAGTGTGGTTTAAACACTCTAGTTTTCGTGGGAATATGGCCACCCAACCCTTTTTTTCTTAGGCCATACCACGCCGCTTTCGTATTTTTGTTTGCTTTTCGACCATATCCTTATTCCTTTTTTGAAGCCCGTTTAACATTCTGTTATATTGTTGTTTTATGGCTCTCTGTTAACCTAAATTAAGGTTAAGTTCTTCTTGCCAACTCTCACTACTGCAGGTGGTTTTCCTTTGTCCTTTCTTGTGTATTGTTCATTCTTTTTACAAGTGATATTTTTGCATTATTGAGAGCGATGTGCTAATGATCTGTCGTTTTGACATGAATGTAGGTTGAAATCAGTTGACCGTTTATTCTGATCTTGCTTATTTTTCTTCATTTGCAGTCTAGCAGGTTTGATGGAAAAATGACCCTCTGGCACCATTTTGAATGTTTCTTCACTAAGCAACGGCCCAAGACAGTTGGAGACATTGCCCATTTTGATTCTTTGAGATACGATGACCAAGAAAAGATCAAAGCTAAAATTGGTAATTGGTATTTGGAGTGAGAAATGATTAACGTTAAACTGATCAGTTCACAGTATTGATGGAAAAGATATTTGTGGCCATCCAAATACATGTAAAACATAAGATGTGGCAACTGAAGATTACTTAAAGCTCAGTTGTCTGACATCTTGGCAGAGGTGGTCAATTGTTTCATGGTCCAGTTTCTGCCCATCTATATTTACTTATTTGAGTGACAAACTTGTTGCTCTTTATGAGTTATTTTTATTGTCAGATTCTCGCTCAAACTGATCAATTTTCATTCAATCCACTTTTCATTTTATTCATTTGTAATTTCTGCTTTGTAGACAACTGTGGCCCAGCTCCAGCAGCTAATGGCAAAGGCAAAGGGAAAAAACGAGCAGCTGTTGCTGCTGGTGTTCAAGATTTCTCTGTTGAATATGCAAAATCTAACAGGGCTGAGTGTAGGGGGTGTGAGCAGAAAATTATGAAGGTTTGCCTACTTCTTGTTAATCTCTTCATAGGAACTGTTGTAATCACAATTTGCTTAATTTGTGTCTGTTATGGGTTTGTAGGATGTTGTCCGTATTTCAAAGAAAGATTTTCAGAGTGAATCTGGTAAAAAATTTGGAGGAGAGAACCTCTGGCACCATGTAGAATGTTTTGCTAAGTTAAGAGATGAATTGCAATTTTGGGCATCAGGTGCAGATTTACCTGGTTTCTTTACTCTTACCAAAGAAGATCAACAGACATTGAAGGAACAATTGCCAAAAGTGACACCGTGAGTGTTCATTGTAATCCATTTCTCCATTTGTATTGGTGTATGTTTTGTAGCCCAGTCTACAGTAATGAAAATTTCACATCACAGGAAAGTTGTCAAAGATGAAGTTGATGGTGTCACCCCAGCCAAAAAGATTAAATCTGAAAAACTTGATAATGAAGAGGAAGAGGAAATAAAAAGGCAGAACATCATCTTGTATGGATATCGAGATAAACTCAAGGAGCAACTCAAAAAGAAAGAGCTCGAGGCACTGTTTGTGTACAATAAACAAGCTATACCTAGTGGCCAAGAGCAGGTACTTATCTTCTCTCCTCTACCTCTTGTATGAAACCTTCAAGGGCGCCAATTTTCTAAATAATATGTCACTTGCAGATGTTGGATAGGCTTGGAGACATCATGACCTTTGGTAAACTTCTTCCATGTCCTGTATGTAAAGATGGACAATTTGTATTCAGATCAGGTGTTGGCTATCAATGCTTAGGAAATATTTCTGAGTGGGCAAAATGTGAAAACAGAACGCTTGACCCCCCACGAGGTACATTCAGGGTCCCTAAAGATCTGAAAGAAAGTTATCCTTTCCTGTAAGTTGACCTGTGTTCTACATCTTGTTAACTATTACCCCAAATCCCTCTCATATTAAATTTTGGTTGTTTCAGAGAAAGTTACAAGTACAAGCCAGAAAAGCGAATCATCAAAATTGTTCCATCATCGACCGCCTCCTCTTCTGTGACATCTCATCAAGTGAAGTCAGAACCTGGATCAGTCACAAAATCCATGTTTGTATTAGTTTTGGCTCAGACAGTTTAGAAATTACCGTAGTTTTCTTTTCTAATGGAAATTTTATTTTCTAGACCAAAAGTCAACAGGCCACCTCCACCATTTGACAATTTAGAATTTGTGATCCTTGGTAAATTAAAAATGGATAAAGATGAACTTAAGAATTTGATCACTAAAAATGGTGGAAAAGTTGGCTCTAAAATTCACTCTAAAACTTTTGCTGTTATTTCTACTGCAGGTACTTGAAATTACTATTTGAAATTCTGTCATAATGTGTCATTTTATGCCTCATTACTATCTTATTGGTGTGCTCAGCTGAAGTGGAGCGGCTTAATAGTCGCATGGAACAAGCCCAAGATGAAGATGTGCATGTTGTATCAGAGGATTTTGTCAAGGCTGTACTTGATGGAGAATCTGCCCTCAAAGCTGTTGATAAGATGTCTATTGCACCTTGGGGTGGTGATGTGAGTATCTTAGTTAACTGATTGATAAATGGACTCCCTATGCAACTATTATGTAATGTCACTGGCTACATTTACAGCCCACAAAAAGAATTCCTGAGAAGAAGGAATCTCTGAAGTCCAAAAGTGCAAGTAAGTTTGTGCTTGTCTTGATCACGTGAAGTTCTGGACACTTGTGTAAAGGCATTTCAATGCTTAAATTTCAATTTTTTGCAGGCATGTATAAGAGCAAGTCTGGAACTGTTAAGTTGAAGCTGAAAGATGGATCAGCTGTTGACCCAGATTCTGGTTTGGAAGACAGAGCTCATGTTTATAAAGATGGTAAAACTATTTATAATGCTGCTCTTAGCATCACAGACATCCAAAAAGATAAAAACAGCTTTTACAAACTTCAAATTTTGGAGGCTGATAAGTCAAAACGGTAAGATGCAGTGTTATTGAAATCAAACATCTCATCATTATTATTGTTTGTATTTTTTAAATCATTGTTTTTTGTTTTGTTTTTGTTCCTTTATTTAAATTTTTCATTAGCTACTGGCTATTCCGTTCTTGGGGACGCATTGGTACGACTATTGGTGGGACCAAGCTGGAAGATATGTCTTTAGAAGATGCCATTGATACCTTTGAAGACCTGTATCATGAAAAAAGTGGTAACTCATGGTCCAACCGCAATCACTTTGTCAAAGTGCCTGGTAGAATGTACCCAATGGAAGTGGATTATGGCAATGCAAGTATTTGTACAAAACCAAACCTTAATTTACAATCTTGTATCTTTTTCTAATTTGTCTGTGATATTTCTGTGCCCTGTGTAGGAGGAAAAGGCTCTTAAATTGGCAGATGCTCAAAGTAATGTCAAGTCCAAGTTGGCTAAATCTGTCCAAGATCTCATAAAAACAATATTTGATGTGGAAACAATGAAAAAGTGCATGATGGAGTTTGAGGTACATTTCAGCCACAAGTAAGAAAGGGTCACTTCAGTGAAACAGCAGACCTACAACTAACTTACTTTTCTTTGTTTAGCTGGATCTTGAAAAGATGCCCTTGGGAAAGCTTAGTCAGAAACAGTTGCTTCAAGCCTATTCTGTCTTGAAGGATGCTTTGGAGCTTGTGCAGAAAGAGGACAAGGAAGGAGTGACTGGTCCAAACTCACGTGCCAAGTACATTGATCTCACAAATCGTTTCTTCACCCTTGTACCTCATGACTTCGGTGTGGACAAGCCCCCTCTCCTCAACACTGAGGAGCTTATTAAGGTTGGCCTGCTGTGAATCTTCTAAGCATCGACTCCACTGCTTTTTTCCCTAGTTGGAATTTTTTAAAAAGTTTCTTTATTTACCATTTTATGTTTTTTGTTTGGTTTAGCAAAAAATGAACATTATTGACAACTTACTTGAGATTGAAATTGCGTACAACTTATTGGAGGGTGGAGCTAGCAGTGACAATGTGCATCCCATTGATGCCCAATATGAGAAACTCAAGGCTGATATTGAAGTTTTGGATAAAAATGCTGAAGAGTATAAGTTACTCGAGACTTATGTCAAGAATACTCACGCATCTACCCACACACAATATTCTCTTGAAATTGATGAAGTAGGTTCTGACTTTCAGAATACAACTGTGCATAAGACTTAAGTATATAATTATAATTAATTTTATTTCATAGGTGTTCAAAGTGCGGAGGCATGGAGAAGAGCGTAAATACAAACCATTTGAGAAATTGCACAACAAAAAATTGTTGTGGCACGGGTCAAGGCTTACAAATTATGCTGGTATTCTTTCTCAGGTAAGAAATTTACAGTCTTTCTAGTTTTTCTTCTAATGTGTTGAGATCATTTATTATTGAGTTGTTTTCTGTTTGTGTTAGGGTCTTCGCATTGCTCCACCTGAAGCCCCAGTCACTGGCTACATGTTTGGAAAGGGTGTTTACTTTGCAGATATGGTCTCTAAATCTGCTAACTATTGTTGTACCTCCAAATCAAACCCTATTGGTTACATGCTGTTGTGTGAGGTTGCATTGGGAAATATGTAAGTACTGTAATGCTAAATCTTTAGCTTATGATTTTTATTTATTTTTTATTGACTCCTGTTTTTTTTTTTTTGTTCTTTTTTGTTTTTGTTTAATGTCTTTTAGGTATGAACGTACCCGGGCTGATTTCATAGAAAAACTTCCTAAGGGAAAGCACAGTTGCAAAGGTGTGGGTAAATCTGAACCCGATCCAGCTGAATCTGTGAAAACTAAAGATGGGGTGGAAATTCCCCTTGGCAAAGGTGTCACTGATCTTGAGAAGGACTCTACTCTTCTGTACAACGAGTATCCTTTTCAGCCTTCGGGCCTGCTGCCTTTTATCTTTCTTTCATTGCTAATTCTCTCGTGTTCATCATCAGTGATTCTGATTAAATCTTCTAATTGCCCCACAAGATTTTCCTTAACGCGCTTTCAGGTATATTGTTTACGATACCGCTCAGGTGAAGTTCCAATATCTCTTCAAGATGAAGTTCAAGTATTTGTAAACTTCTTGGTAAGGTATGAGAGTTACAATATTTGATCCGTGTTTGCTTTTGTTTAGTATATTTTTACATCATTGTTTTCTCTTGTAGATAGAAGACATCACCTGCTTGGCCAAGGTGAACAAAGAACTCACGAACCAGTACTTATTTTATTTTAATGTGTTTTGATATTCAAGCTATGATTGATTTTGCCCATTTGTGGCACCAGTATTAACTGGAAGTTGTCTGAAAGAAAATAAACAGATTTTGAATAAATTTGACTTTTATTGGCACACATTTTCCAGCAAAAACTATCTTATGGCACGAAGTTTACTGCTAAGACGGAACCGTCTATCTTATCACCGGGTTATGTAGCTTGCCATTGATCTCATGGCATTAAGTACACATTGTTTGATTTCAGTAGGCTTACTCTATCCTACCAAATGCATCAATAATTAAACAATATGATTCAGATTAACTAAGGATAGAATGGTTTTATTGGCTTTATTGGTCTAGACAAATAAACTTTAATAGCAATAACAATACAATAAGTCTCAAAATACCAACAAGAAAATTGTAAAATCAGCACAATATGGCACAACTAATAATCACATCTAAAATAAGTTCATGTTGTAGCGACTTCAGCGGTCAAAGCCTCAACGAGCATCAGCCAAGACAAATTATCCTAATAGTTTTCTATCTTCTAAGAGAATTAGCATGTTTCATTCATGAGGAAGATTTCATATAGTTCTTAAAAAGGAATAGGATACTCAATTTCCAATTCACAACCAAATATTTAGAGACAGAAAGGCAGGGCACAAAAAAGATGAGTTTCGAACCTATTTCATACTATGGCAGTAAATCTTTCTAAAAAATTATAAAACAAGAAATAGACTATCAAAATACATCAGCAAATCATTAAAAGATGCAGATTGGTACAAAAATACTTCACTTTCTAAAACAATTTTAAAAAAAGAAAAAAAAAGGCAAGCATGTGTAGCACTATCCTTTAACCATTCCAGGCTCAAATTTAAAACAACTTGAGCTTTACAGTAGTTCTAAGTCAAAAAATAACAATTCCGAATTGCTGAATGCAGCCTAAGCTAATCAAGTTAAAATTTGTTAGCTCAAACACGGTTCCAGAAATTCACTTCCAAAGAACAGATTCTAAAAGTTTATACATTTAGATCACATTACATTTCATTAAATGTAAGCTTATAGCAACTTCAATAGAAAAAATTGACAGTCACATTCGATGGCACATTAGTTTTAAATTCTTAAGATATGAACACAATAATCATAAGATGAATATATTGATGGAACCAGCCTCTATTTAAAAAAAGAACTTCATAGGGTGTCATCATGGCAGCAAGCTATGCTGATGAACTTTCCAAGATGACCAGGGCAAATCTAAACTACATTCTTCAATTCAGCAAGCTGTGAACAAAAGAAGACCAGTTAAAAGCAGTTCCACTTGAGAGGACATCATTTCACCAAAACATGAACGAATTCAAAGACATTTAAAAACAAATTGCAAAAGACAAAACAAACATGCAAAATTCAACAACAAAAACTGTAAAAGTTAAGGTCATCAAATATTTCTTACAGCAGCTAAGTGAGCCAACTCCTCACTATGCCAGAAATGCACAAAACCCAGAAAGCTAAAACATCTAAAACAAACAAATCTTGATCGGAGTTTTGATAACAACTTAAAAATATGGATGCAGGACACCATTGCTAAGATAAATAAAATATGGTAAAACACACATTAAATCACTGAAGGCTCACAGCACAGCACTAGTTCACTTACAGCAATTGGCACAAAATTACAAATTATGCAAACAAGCCACACTCAGATCACAAAAAAAGACACAAAAATAAATAAATGTGCACACCTTGGCATTTGCTAGTGAACAACTAACTATGAAATAATTCTGCTGCTGACCTACTATTGTCGATCTTCTATCTTGGTGTTTTTTAATGTACCTCCAAGTTCTTCAATCTAATCAAGGGCAAAAAAAATAGCAGAGTACGAGCTGTTAATTCAGCCCATCCATTTTCACACCACCAACAAAAGTACTGTACTCATATCAAGGAACAACAGAGCACTGGAACCGGATATTGACGATTATAAATATTCCTTAACATTAGATCAAAATTTACTCACCTCTTTTTCTTCATCAACTTCATCCTCGTCATCACTTCCATGAATTGAACCTCGAGGTGTTGTCGGCCGGGAGGATGATGGAGAGGGAGGTTCAGAAATTGGGCGAGGGAAGTTGAAATTGTTCACATTGCCACTCATTTCCAAAGTGTTAGCTAGTTCTGGGTAAACTTTGCAAAGGGCACTAATGCGAGATTGACGGTAATACTGTGGCAGAAGAAAATCGATGATTAGTGATACACCAATCACATGAATAGAAACTGAGCATTTAACAGCAATGAATGACTTACAATGCCCAAGTTTCGCCAATCAAGAAGGTCACTTAAACGCTCAGTACGATTTCTCTGAATGATTCTCTGTCTTCGGTTAAGGCGGGAGAAGTCATACATAAACTGTGCCAACTGTTGCACAGAATTCTCAAGACCAATATAACGCCTATCAACAATATAAATTCCATAGCTCTGAGGATCTGCAATATGTTCTTGCATGAAGCAGCCAAAGCCTGAAAAAAACAATAGTATTTATTATATAAATGTTGATTGATTAGAATGTATTAGCACCACATCTAAAATCCAATTACCTGATAAATTAGTGGTGATTGAGGGAATACCCATTACTGTGCATTCTGCAGGAGTGTAGCCCCAGGGTTCATAGTAGCTAGGGAAGACTCCCAAGTGGCAACCTCGCACAAACTCTTCATAATCTAAACCGAATAGAGGGTTTGTGGACGACAAGAATTCTGGGTGGAAAATCACCTTTCACCAAAAGAAAAAGTTGTTTATTATTAAAAAGTTTTAAAACGATAATTAATTCAGTGGCATAGACTGCAGAGTTATAGTACCTTCACACGGTCATGAACTGTATTGAAGAGGTTGCATCTTCTCACAGCATTTAGGACAGGATCGTTCCAGTCATCAACAATATTGTGAGTAGTGACAGGAGGAAGACCATGCCTCTGAAGTCCATAAATGCAGCGCTTCAGTTTCACTTTATCCTCTTTCTCAAGAAGCTCAGCTGCATCCGGCATTCTCCCACTAAACAATTCAATTTGGTTTTGACTTTGTACTTAAAGTGATAACACATAATAAAATGCACAACTTGCTTTTTATGAAAATTACTCACCTGAGACAAATTTCATACAATTTCTTGCCAATGCCTTGCTGAACATCATGGATAGTGTCCCTCAAACTCTTTGTAACTGCATGACCACGTAAACTCTCAACATTGAAGTTGTTGGTCTTAGCAGGGAAGATGAGAAAAGCAACAACTGTAGTGTCTGAGTTCGCCGCCTGAAATAGCAAGAGCAAAGGAAATAAGAAAGGAGGGACAAGGTAGAGAATCACTATTGCATATGGCACAGTAGATACCTTCAGATAGTGATTCAATCTTGCTAAGGCTTCAATAAATATATCTGCTCCCTTATTTCCAAACTCATATCGACCAGCAATGAAGAAATAGAGGGTCTTATCCAAATTGAAGTCATAATGTCTGCCAATTCAACAATCAACAAATTAGTTTTTCATTCATTCAATCAAAAACTAAAGAAAACTTCACACATTGATAAAAAGTGTATACAAACCCATAAAAGTGTCCTCGTACAAACTCATGAATTTTGTCTTTTGAAAGAGCATGTAAATTCTGGAATTCGTGGAGTGCAGAAAACTTTTTCACATTCAAGCCGTTTGGCGTAATATAATCAGCCTTCCGTTTCAGTAAATGTTCAGCTTCATAGCCAGTAATTTCAGATACAGTAGTGAAAGTATGAGAAAGGTGGGTCGCACAACGCTCTAAGCAATATCTGTGGTAAATCTGGCGCTTTCCAGCCTCTTCATCCACATTAAACTGGAAAGAGACACATAACAAAATTAGTGGTTCGCACTGAAGTTAAATTGTTAAACACGAGTGTGAACTTACTTGAGACAGGTTGTTGTAGAAATCAATATTTCCAGCACACAGGTATCTTCCCAATAAAGTTGCATGCGTGGTGAAAACAGTGGCAACATCAACACGTCTAGTTCTGAGAGCGACCAACCCTACACCAGCTTGCCATTCATGGAAATGGGTAACAATGCGGGGCTGTTGGCCACTACATTCCTCTGCTGCTTTGCGGAACTATTTTATTTTATTATTTAAAAGAAAAAATTGTTAATGTTATGCTTTATGTTCTGTAAGCTTAGTGAGTTTAGGAGCAAAGAAATCCAATAAAAAATGTGAAGATGCCTACCTCAGCAATGAAAGCTGCCACCATGTATCCTAAAATAACAGCATCATTGGTTTCAATATCCAGATGAGGGATTCCAACACCTGTTTTCTCCCAGAGTTCCTGTTTGTATTCATCCAATTTCCAAGCAGCAGATCCAATGTCAAAAAGAATGAGCTGAGGATTTCCATCAACTAGCCAAGTACCAGTGTGGAGCTGGAAACAAATTATAAGGGTGACGAACACGTTGGAATTGGAAAATCTATTTTACACAGACCACAGTACCTGGTATCCTTGATCTCTCATCCTGCTGACGGCAATTTGTAAAGGGCCTCCGGCAGGGAATTCCTGCTCTTCCACTTCGGTGCGGGCGCACTGTTCCTTGTAAGGCCCTAAGAGACAATACTGATCACCCATTTCCTCTGTGGAGACATAGGCCTTGGATCTGATGACAGTGTAAATTCCTCCAACTGCAAGCCACAAACATCAACAGCAAGTTTAGTTAAAAACAATGGAGGGAAGGACCATGGTGTTAGCAATTTCTTACCTTTGTTGGCAACTTCCCAAGCTGCTTCGAATGTCCATCGGTTATCATCCATCGCAGCTTGACCTCTGTCCATTACAGACAAGAAGTCATACACACTGTCTGCGCGATAGAACCGCCGTTGTGCCTTTTCTTTAATAGACATTCTCGGTTGATTGTTGCCTAAGAAAAAACAGATGGATTAAACGTAAGATTTATGAATGGAAAATTTTCTTAACATGATTTACAGCATGACAAATTACAGAGCCGAATATTTCTTTCATTCGAGACAACGCAGTAAAATTTTGGAACATGTTAACTAGATTTCCATTACAATACTAGAGCAAAAGTAACTATCTCAGACACATTCTTTTCAGCAGGTGGCAAATTAAACTTCCTCATTCATAAACAGACGCCCACAGCAAGTGCACAGCAATAATCTATTTTTACTACCCAAACAACAACTCAGCAGCCCCAGACATAAACAAGGACACTTCGGCCTCGTACCACGTTTTTATCCTATATAGGCTCAATTTAAACACAACGTGGCCGGCAGCGAGCAGAAACTGTTAGGTCGCAGGTACTCACGCCTCTAGAAACCCGGAACAAATCACTGCCGGTCCCGAAAAGACCCACACAAATCCTGACCTCAAAGAAACCCTGAAGGTCAAGTGCCTGGCCCACTAGCTGGGCTGGGGGGCAGGGTTGGGGCGCCCACTGTTTTGCACTACGAGCGGTCCCGTCCCGTTCCGCTGGCGTGCCGCACCTCACACACACTGTTGTAGCTCGGACTTGGCTCGGGCCACAGCTGACTGCAGACTGCAGCCGACGCAACCCCTTCCCTTGGGCGTGTTCCTTTTCTTTCTCGTCCTTTGAACGCCGAGAGCAGACGACGGCGGAGCGCGCGGCACGCGGCGAGATGGCGAGATCTCTGTCGAGAGGATCGAGGGCAGCGCTACGCAGCGCGCAGTACGACCGGTTGCGCGGGCGAGGGAAGCTGAAATGAGGCGGGGGCTCGGCTTCGGCTTCGACTGGCTTCGACTCGTGTCGGCGCTTTTCACGAGTCAACAGCAGGCGCCTCTGCCTCTGCCTGCGTCGCAAGGTCAGCGAGGTAGACCCTCGGTGAAAACAAGACAAGAAAAATAAAGCCCCCCACCTCCCACCTTCCGCACTGGGCGACGGCAGCGGCGGTCGGCAAGGCAAATAGACGCGTCGATGCCGAGCGCCGAGTCGCGACACCAACAACACGATCAACGACGACCACCGAGATTCGAATGGGGCAAGGCAAAATCAGTAGAAAAGGAACCATGTTTTCCGCGCCTCAATTCGAATCACCCTGACGGACGACACACCTGAAAGTCGTTATAGCAACCAGACCTTATTTGCAGGTTGTTTGGTCAATAAACGTGTTTGGTAGAGTGGAGCTTGAAGACGGGCAGCAGATCTGTGACTGGGGTGATCAAACCCTGTCTGAAGTTTTCAGTTTTCTGAAGACTGAGGACTCGCCACTTTTCAGTAATTTCCTGACAGAACCTCCACCATGGTAAGTCCAAAATACCAAACACTGAATAAAACGCAGAGCAGCGCGGTGAAACATGCCCTCTTGCCAGTCTGCAAAGCTAAAACAATTTTTGTATTTTCACAAATTTTTAGGCAAAGAAGACGAAGAAAGAAAAGGCAAAGGTTGCCGCCCAGAAGGCGGAACTCGCTCGGATCGAGGCTGAGAAGGCCAAGTAAGGGCTTCCCTCGGGCGGGCACTGCCCCGCCGGCCACGCCGGCCACGCCCCCAGCGTCGCACCCTCGATGTGAAAACCCAGACATTTCCCCCTCGTTTCAGAATCCAGATGGTGGTCGACGAGCGCGAGCGGCTGCTCCAGGACCGCGTGATGCTGGTGGAGAAGGCCCGGCAGGAGGACGTGGTGCACGAGGAGCGGCGGCGCCAGCTGCAGGAGACCGCCACCATGCTGGCCGACATCGAGGACGAGTACGGCGCCAAGCTGAGGGCCGACCTCTGCAAGCAGGAGGTACTCGTCGAGCACGTGTGGCCCTGCACTGTGTCCAAGGCACCCGTTTCACACGCATTCACCCCGGTCGCAGTGGGAGCAGTTCATGAAGTGCGACCGGCTGCCCGACCCGTCCTCGCCGAGCCAGATGAACACGTACCTGTACGTGTGGCGCGAGACGGACCGACTGAACAACATCGAGGATGCCACCACGAAGACGTCCGAAGTCCTCAAGGCATAGCAACATTCACTGTAAGACCTCTTGGCCTGGCGGCCGGCACTGCACTGGGCTAACACACGCGTGCTTCCCCTAGCTGCTGGACGCCCTCGGAGACCTGATCGAGGCCCCGCCGCCCAACGCCGCCAAGAAGAAGGTGGACCTCTGGATAGAGGTAGGAGGACGCCCCCTCGGCGCTTCTTCAGCCACGCTCCGCAGTCCTCTTCCAACCTTGCGACTCGGTCCACTTGCTCCAGATGCGCGACCTGGTGCGCGCGGAGCAGCAGAGGCACCTGGACGCGGCGGCCTACCGCCTGCTGCGCCGCCTGGAGTCGGACTTGGAGGCCGAGAGCCTGGAGATCGTGCGCTACTACAAGGCGTGCGAGCACTTCAAGCTGTGCCTGTGGGCGCAGCTCATGCTGCCCGTGGCCTCGTTCAAGCCGGACGACGACACCAGGTGAGGCTGACCTATCGGGCTGCGCCGTCCGCGTCCGCGTCCACACTCTGACGCGCAGGTGCTTCGCAGTGCCTCGCCCTCCCGGTGGCGACTGAGAAGAAAATTTCCGCGCCGCCCCGATTTATAAGCTAATTAGAGCTGGCGGCCGCCAGGGCGACTCACCGTGCCCAGAGGCCCAGGGGCCGACCCGCGCTATCGGCCGCCGGCTTATCTACGGGCCGAACTAGCCGAGCTGGCAGCCTGGCCGAGCCTGGCCCGGGGCAGGTGGCCCCGGCAGCCGGCACCACACCGTAAACGGCGGGCCGGCCGGCCTCTCTAGCGCCTGCAGCGTAGGCCAGCCGCGCGCACGCACCGCACGCGTGTCGCGCTGGCCTGCCTATCCTCGGTTCGCAGGCGCTAGCCCGGCCGCGCCGCGCGCTCCAGCAGACCGACCCGGAGTCGCTCTCTGTCGCACTCATGGGGCGCCCCGCGGGGGTGCGAGAGAGACAGAGCGACGAAACGACTCCTCGGAACCGCCTGGCACTACGGTTGTCTGTTCACGTCAGGCCGGCGATCCAGTGCGAGTTCTCGCAGCTCGGCGTCAGCATGCAGCTGCCCAAGTCCCTGAACGACATCCCGCTGGCCGTCCGCGCCATGTGGGTGCAGTACGACCACTACTCGGACCGCTGCCCCTCGTACCACTGCGCCGAGCTGCCCGCCAGCCAGCGCCTCGGTAACACGCCAAAGCACGCCGAGCAGTGACAGCGGTGGGGCCGGCGCATCAGTGCCTGTTTTCTGTGGACAGACATGCTGGACGCGGCGGAGGAGGAGTGCTCGGTGCAGGCGTCCCTGCGCGAGGAGATCACCGCCGACCTGGAGCGGCGCCTGGCCGTGGTGGAGCGCCTCGTCAAGGAGGTGCAGGCGCGGCCGCCGCCCGGCACGGAGAGCAAGGACAAGCCGCCGCCGCCGCCGTCGCCCGAGCTGGACAACTACGAGGCCGGCGAGCCCATCAAGTCGCCCTCGCAGATGATGAACGTCAAGGACGGCGAGCGCGAGCGGGGGCTGCGGGCCGAGCTGCGGATGCGCCTCGCTCCGCATGAGGTGAGCCGACGGGGCATCGGGGGGAAGAAAGCCGCCGCCGCCGGTACTCGAACCCGGGCTTTCCTGCGTGCAGGTGAATCTGCGCGAGATGGCCGTGCTGGGCGGCACGCTGCACCTGGACCTCGCCCTGCAGCCGCCGCAGCCCCGGGACATGCGCACTAGGCTGACGATCACTGTGCGTAAGTCCCCCAAGTCGCGTGGCGCTGTCTACCGCCCCTCTGTGCCTGCCGCTGCCTAACGCGTGCCTTCCTCTACCTGTGCCTCGGCCGCCCCACCAGTGGAGGGCGCACACACGCTGCAGCCCGTGCCGTACCACCAGCCCTACCAGCCGCCCGCGCCGCCCGAGCCGGGTCAGGTGCGCCTACCCGAGGAGATCGAGGCCGAGCTGAAGCAGGCCGAGCGGGAGCTGGAGGCGCTCGTGCTCATCAACATCCTGTACGTGCTGACTGCGAAGGATCGTTCCGTCGCTCTGTCTCTGTCGCACTCATGGGGTGTTCCCGTCGGAGAGCGAGAGAGACTAAACGACGGACCTGACTCTCGGCAGGCTGCCGGAGACGCTGTTGTGGTTCGAGCCGCCCACCGTGGTCGGCTGGGACGAGGAGAAGGGCTTCTGGACCACCGAGGACTACCACGACATCAAGTTCAACGAGGAGAAGCAGGTCGGACTTCGCACGATGCACTGCGCGTGCACCGCGAGCCGCGGCCCCCACACTGTAGGGCTCTATGCGGCACCACGTTGATAAGCAATCGCTTTATTATTTTCCCCCAAAAGTGCATCGGACCACACACGTCACCGAAACGTCATCCGTGCATGTGTTTTCCATTTGGCGAGCGCTCTGGATGTACTTCCTCCCGCGGTCGGCGAGTAGAGGCTGCGCGGCTCCAAGCCAGATTGTGCCCCTAGATCGCTGCCCCTAATGCCAAGGTCTCTGATAGCGACAATCACTCAAGGAGGGAGCCATTCAAACTCCTCGCCACACCACGCCACGCCGCGCCGCGCTAGACGAGCCCCTGCCAGAGCGCAGGCGCAATGCGTCGGGACGAATGCCCCCGGACGCCCCCGGGCCCCGGAGCCGGCTTAGAGACATTTTTCCGGGGGGCACACGGAACGTTCCCAGTCGGATATGGGGCGGCGATTGTAGACCGGGGGGATAAGGCAAAGGCGTCATCGGGACGAACTTCGTCGGAAAAAAATTGGGAAGAAAAGAAAAGAATGTGTTGTGTATTTTTGAGCGTTCTCGGCTTGTTCTTTTTTCTGCGCTCCACGTAAGCGAATCTCGACTTTGCGAGCTTCGCTCTCGCTCTATCAAAAAGTTAACGACATCATTGAGAGATAAGAAGTGAACGATTCGCTCGATTATTCAATCTCTGGTGTACTTTTGACTGTATTTGCTCTTCCTCATGTTCACACCATACAAAGAATGAAAGTTTTTTAAAAATTTGATGTTTGTTGTCAAACTGTTGTTTTTGGAACGTGTTCCAGCTGCTCACGTTCCGTGCGGGGCGCATGAGGCCGCTGGGGCTGGCCGTGCACCGCTACACCAACCTGCCGTACCAGGGCTGGGAGGTGAAGCCCGACACCAAGTCCGCCCCCAGCGGCGCCGCGCCCTCCGCCGTCATCCTCAGCATCACGGCGGCCGTCGTCATGGTGGAGCTGTGCATTCGGGTCCGCGCGCCGCCAACTAGCACACTGATTCCGAGAGTCGTTTCCGTCGCTCTGTCTCCCTCGCACTCATGGGGCGTCCTCTATGGGCGCGAGAGAGACAGAGCGACGAAGACGACTCTCGGAATCAGTCTGCCGCCGCAGGCAAACCACAGTGAAATGAAAATCAGGGGACGCTGGGGCGAGGAATTTCCACGGCCTTCTCTTCTCGGCTTGCAGGACTCAGAAATGTGCCTGAATCAGCTGCAGAACGGGCCGAACAACGCGCTGCTCGACTTGGTGGGCAAGTTCATGAAGCCGCGGGAACTTTTTAAGGTGAGTCTGCGCCTGGGGTAAAAAATAAAACAAAATAGGGTGCGGCTGGTATTCGAACCTGAGGCCGTTGCCTTGTCAGCTGCTGAGGGACGGCGGGCTGGACCTGTGCCCCGGCGACGACGCGGGATGCTACCTGGAGGGCATGGCGCCCAAGCACCGGCCCACCGAGAGGCACCTGTACCACACCATGGCGCTGCTCAGCAACACGTACAACTTCACGTGGTCGCGGTGGAACCAGCAGGCCGGCACGCGCAACGTCGTCATGCAGTTCCGCGAGTACATCGACCGCAAGAAAGTGGTGAGTGCCTGGCGCCTGCACTGTATGATCAGAGGGGAGTGGGCTGAGAGGACTGAGAGGTCCACCAGCGCCCAGCCCCCGTTCTTCACGCCTCCACTGTCACCTGCAGACTGATTCAGAGAGTCGATTTCGTCGCTCTGTCTCTGTCGCACCTGGGACGCCCCACAATGACTCTCTGAATCAGTCTACTCACTGCCCGCTCTGTCGCAGGGGAACTTCAACATGCTCCTGGTGACACCCTCGCACGCCACCATCCCGGACTGCACCGAAGTGAGCCCGCAGTTCAACACCAAGAGCGCCGAGGGCTTGCCGGTAAGACCGCCCTGCCCTGCTTTGGGTGTTGGGTGGCAGTTGGACCACGCCGTCCAGGGTCGCCCTTGGGCGTTCGAGGCCGTTCCAAGGCCGTTTCAGCCGGCCTGGTTCGTTTGCGAGAAAGCCGTCCCTTTCTCGTATCTCCCTCCCAGCCGCCTTGAGCCACTGCCTTATCTAATAAAAACAACAGCTTGGCCGGCGACACTAGACTAGGCTGAGGCTGCCCAGGCGAGATCCCTGCCCCTAGACCCGCCCTCGCCCCGCGCGTGACACCGTGCCCTCTGCTGCAGTTCTACGCCGACCTGTTCCACTTGGTGCAAGACCACTGCTCGCTGCTCACCAAGACCCGCATCGAGGAGATCCCCTTCACCTTCGTGGAGACCATGTACGACGTGCTGCGGGCGGTGCGGCTGCTCAGCTCTTCGTGAACAGGGCCCAAGTCAGGCATGAGTCAGGGCTCCCCTCTTCCAGTACAGGGTGGTTTGGTCAACAAATTGAAGCTGATTTCTTTTGTCACAGCCATTTTATTGCATCATAACCATTTTGACAATCTGGAAAAATACCAAGGTGGATTTTTAAAGACATGAAAATAATTTTTTAAATATTGTACAGCTTGCCATAACATGTATTTTTAACACTTTTCTAAAAAATAAAAACGAAACAAACAACCTTTTACTAAACAGAACTTGAGCCAGGAGAAAACATTTTCACTTGGCGGTCCATCAGCCGGTAGTGGTAGGTACCGGAAGGCACAGACTGACCCAGCACACTCAAGCAGCCAGAAACATCTTTACTGAGCCCTGTTTGCAAACCTGATACTAGTACAGTCAAATCCGATGAATTTTTAATGAATGTTCCCAGGAGACGCTCATTTTCATCTTCATCAGTCACATGAGAAGAAATGACAAGTGACATGTTGCTGATTTCAGATAAAAGGCCCTGTAGGTAGTTGATGAAAATGAAGACATGTTCTAATGACACTCCTGAGGTAACAATATCATTTATGTTTCCTATGATTAAACAAACTGACTTGAAGTTCTCTCTCATTTTCATTAGTTTATTCCTAACACTCAAAAATAGATTTTTGACAGCGATGGTCCCTTGTTCATCAACAAGTTCAGCTGATAATTTCTTGGCAGATAGTGATTCGCTGATCACTTTCATCAGATCAAGCTCTTCAAATAAACCTTTCTGGCTCAAACTTGTTAAGTTCAACCTGAAACAATAGCAGGAGCATTATAAAGGAGTAAAGATTTTTTAGAAACATGCAGATGCAAACAAAGCGGAAGACGTACCCCAACTTCAGGGTCTGGTTGCGATAGTGGGCAGAAGAATGATGACAGCTCAGAAGCAGCACTGCGGTTGAGGATTCTGACGTTCTGGGAAGCAGGAGGCCGTTGGCTCGGGACTCTCGCGCAGGGCGGCCCACGAGGCATTCCCACATGAAGCAGGACAGAACGAAGCTGGAATCTGCATTTCCTCTCTCCAGAACAGCGAATGAAGACGACTGCACGTTGGGCTGGTCCAGTCCCAGAGCAGCAATTAAAGCGGCTGCCATTTTGGCTAAAAAAAACAAAGCGAAATTAGATGAAACATTTTAACTGCTGCACTGTCTTAAACCATAAAATAAATCAGAACATTCACCAACAGTACAACATAACCTATACCCGGCACATGGGAAGCCACAGAAAGTTATCAAGGGTGTCGAGAAAACACTTACCAACAGTCACTGCTGTTGGAACCAAAGGCAAGTTTTCTACATATATTGTCGGACTTCCCTCACAGTGTCATCGAGGGGAGAATTTCTCGCAATAACAAGAGAACTTGAGCAAAGAATCAGCTCGTTGTTTGTTGTGGTACTGAACTGCAAATACCGACGTTATATGCAGGAGGCACTAAAGGTTACAACGAAAGCATATAAATTCCCTCGGACTGACGAAAATAAATTTTCAACAAAGGCGATAGAATATTTGTCTCTCTGTATTAAAATTCTTTTTTACGTGTTTGGTGGGGTACAAGGTCATAATTTTTATCGTTGCATACTTCAAATAACGATGAGAATCAGCATCTTTAACGCTACACGTTGGTACGGCTACTGTTTATACAAAGGTCGCTAGCAGACGACAAGCAGAAGGTAGAGTGGGAGGGCTCAAGTTCGAAGGCCATGTGAGTAGCCTGAGGCTTACATACCATGTGATGTAATTCAAAATCGCCAATTCACCTCTATCAGCTGTTATCAAGGGTAAGTTATGTCACCTCTAGTTCTCCTTCCACTAGATTTCTGGTTCCTAGCGCAAGACTATATTTCGAATTGTCATACGCCCTGTCGAACTTCATAACCCTAAGGTCCGTCTTGTTGCCAATTTTATGTGGCGAAATTAATTAGTACGGCAATGTACGAGAGAGAAATGCCGGAAGAAGTGAGTACCTGGTCAGGGCAGCAGTCGACGTAGTGGCTTCTAAAAGTGATTTAACCAACCATCAACTTTTTTTTGACAGAAATAGATATTGATTAATCCGTTTTGTCTTAAATTATGGACCTTTGACCTTAAAAACTGTGCTTTAACCCAGTAAGTCTCTCAAAATCGGAGTGCAAATGAGACTTAAAATTAGCATGTTGCGTTTTCTACTCTAAGTGCACGTTCTGAAGATATCTTTCTCATTTTTCATGATTTGACTATGGTTTTTGTTCCTATCTCTAATGACTTGTTCATTTGGCAGGTAACCACAAAATTTAACAGACAACATGGCACAGAAAGAACAGCAACGGTATGCAAGATGGTATTTTGGTGGATTGGCGTCTGCTGGCGCATCTTGTGTGACCCACCCCCTTGATCTGCTAAAAGTACGTATGCCTAGTTGTGGCTAGGCAATGTAAAATTTTGATAATATTTTTGATCATGTCATACAATTTTCTACTTTGCAGGTTCACCTTCAAACTCAACAGGGAAAATTATCTCTTCTGAGACTAACTTCAAAAATTGTTAAAGAGCAGGGAGTTACAGCCCTTTATAATGGTTTATCAGCATCACTGTGCAGGCAGCTCACATATTCAACAGCAAGATTTGGAATTTATGAGGTAAGGGATTCCATTTCATTCACATTCATTTTCTTGCTTCAATCCTTTGCCAGGGATTTGAATATTAATTCTATACCAAACTGAGGCTGGCCAAATCTATACTACAAAATATGAACTTCAAAGGAGACCTACCTTTGCTTTTTGGCCTCTTAAATATACTGTGCTTTGTGCAAGCTGTAAGCTTCACTTTGAGGGGCTTCTTTAATATCTGCTGTATTTCTTGATGTGAATATCTTTGAACTGTGTAGGTTGTGCTGCAGGTGACACAGTTTAGGAGACACTTGTTTCAAGGTAGAAAATCTTGAGGATTTTGGAGTGGTTTAATATTTCTTTGGTCTTAACAAAAAATAAACTTGTCTTTAAACTAATTACAATATTTAATTTTTCTGCATTTGAAATGCTGATGCATGTGTTTTACTGTCCCCTTCCAATCAGAATTTTTTTCATGGCTGAAGCTTATTTTCGGTTATGATAACAGTGGGAATTTTCTTTAGATAGTGTGTGTGATTAACTGTGTGTTTTGTTTGTTTAACAAATTTAGATGAAATGTGCCATAGTTTTTTTTCTCTTAAATTATTTACTTCCTCTTCTTTTGACATTCATTTAAAGTTTTGTTCTCATGTTTTTCTAGGTTTCCAAGCAAATGGTTTCTAGCAAAGGAGAACCAGTTTCATTTTTGACAATGGTTGGTATGGCATCCCTTTCTGGAGCAGTTGGAGGATTTGTTGGTGTTCCAGCCGACTTGGTTAATGTAAGAATGCAAAATGATGTTAAGCTACCCGTTGAAAGCAGAAGAAAGTAAGTGGTTGCTGCAGGTCTAATAAGAAAATTAATTTAAGGCATCATTATATCTTATATATCTGATATTTGCAGCTATAAACATGCAATTGATGGTTTGTGGCGAGTTTGGAGAGAAGAGGGCACTCGTCGCCTGTGGGGAGGTGCAAGTGTTGCCACAGGGAGAGCAGTGCTCATGACAGTCGGACAGTTGTCGTTTTACGACCAAGTGAAGATGTACCTATTGGCCACTCCTTACTTTGATGATAATGTCATAACCCATTTCACCGCAAGTCTTACAGCTGTAAGTCCACATGTTCATATTGGGATGAGTTGCAATATAATGTGTAATGTAAACTGATTTTTCAATCCTTCATGTTTTGTTTGAAGGGTGCTGTTGCAACTACTCTATGTCAACCACTTGATGTCCTTAAAACAAGGGCAATGAATGCAAAACCAGGAGAATTTTCGGTAGGTATCATAAAAATTGTGAAAAATAAGTACTTTGGTGGCCAAAGTTGCATTGCCTACTTAAAATATTTTTTTTGTTCTTTGTAGAACTTGTGGCACGTGGTAACATACACAGCAAAGTTGGGACCCCTCGGATTCTTCAAGGTTAGTTCAAAGCACCCTACCAAACCTTAAAATTTGGCTTATGTGCTGTTGTGCGGATGTGTAAACCAATTTTTATGTATCTGTTACAGGGATACATTCCAGCATTTGTTCGCTTGGGCCCTCAAACCATTCTAACGTTCATGTTCCTAGAACAACTGAAGCTGAACTTTGGTTACTTGAAGTAAAACTTAATCCTGCCAGCGATGAATGGGCTTTGCTTCAACAGTAGTTATATGGACTGAATTAATTTTCATGCAATAATTTTGGTACCATCATATGGTGCTTTTGTAGTACAGGGTAGTCCAGGTCTCATGATTGTTTGTTGTTTCCATTTTTAAAAATCAAACTTTTACGTGAGCCCAAAAAATGCATCAAAAGAATTTTTTGGTGGCTTGTGTGAAACCTAGCACATTTACTTTAAAGCACATCTTCTGACCTTGGGCTGTAGTACTTCTATGGAGAATGATCTGCTTGTCACATGTTTAAGTTTGTCATACTTTTTTTGTCTATTCAAACAGTTTTGTATTTAGTTTCCGGACCAAATGATCTCCCTTTATATTTTATGTTCATGTCTTTGTATCTTTACATTACAGAATAATTTTCTTTTTTGCTGTAAAAAAGTTACTATTAACAACTTCTAGAAACAATTTATATGAACTGACAGTGCCTTTTCTTTCATTCAATTTTGGATGATGGTTCGGTATTAGTTTGGTAGTGCAGCAAAGCAATGTCATTGTCCGCGTATTTGTAACCGTCCCTATGTATGCTGGAGGATACAAAACAAAATGATAGAAGATAATAAACCAAGTTAGTTAGTTGATGGTAAAATTCTATTCAGAGCTGACACATAGAATCAGTTGTTTGTACCATTCATAACACCCTGAATATTTATTTTAGAACTATGCTATGCTAGAAGCTTAGGAGTTAGAAAGAGGGGGGAAAAAAGAGTCCTCACGCTTCCTTGATTAGGTGCATGCTTCTGGACTCTGTAAATTCATACTGCCATATTTTTTGAGAAGTTTAGCTGAAGTTTTTGTTGTGATAATTGCATGAGTTACACTTGTTACCTCTGCTTTTCACAGCACTCGCAACTACCTTTTGTTGTGACTGTTAGTAGTTGTATATCAGTTGAGTAAGATGTTCATTTGTTGAGTTGTGACAGAAACATCAGAACCGGTTATTTTTCTTTGCATTCTAATCCTGACACTGCAGTTATAAGATTTTCCTCGATTTGGCTGTTATTGCCTCTGGGTTAATGTTAAGTGTTAGTTTTATTGAGCTCTGATAACAAAATGTGATGGCTGTTAAATTATTTTAATAACAATTTATAGAGTGTGCCTGTGTTTATGAAGTAAGTGCCTTCAATTTTTGTAACAAACGTTGGGCCCTTTTTAACTAACATTCCATGACTTCATTTAGTGGGGACCAGGTGTTTCTTTTGCTTTTGTGATAAATAGGTGTGCTTGCTGTTTCCAGTGTCTAGTGGCTAATCCGAAATAGAATGGCAATTCTCTTTGCCAGTAATATAAGCCTTCCTAGAAAATATTGAACTGACATGACAAATTAGTCTCTGAAGTGCTGTGCATTGTGCATTTTATTAAAGTTAAGGTATATGCGACTCTAAGGAAGCCATAAAGACATTTAAATGTATGACCAGTTGGTCTCTCATTGACTTGGCTTCCTCTAGAAATATCCTACCAGTGTAGACAATGCTGCATTTTTTCTGTTTGAATTCTTCTTGTTTTTGCTTTAGCTCTACAGCTTGTCATCCTATTTAGTTTCCAATGTCTTTGAATTGTTCGTCCTTGTCTTCAGCAAAGACATTACCAATGTTTGTATTGGTCACAGGTGGTGAAGGTACTGAGAACTAGGGTATAATTTAATGGAAAATATTTTGAAAGAAGACAACTGTTTTAATTCATTCAATTTGTCTGAGTGTTAAGTTCTAGAGGAGGTCAAAAAACATCTTGACCCAACCTTGCTTCTTTGTAAGGTTTTAAGTGGAAGGGTCACATTTATTTTTTACGCTTTGTTTGTTTAAAAATCAAAACTGTTAATCTATTTTGAATAATGCTATTTATTATTTGTTGACAATACTAAGAAATGAATAAACCTGAATTTTTTTCAGAACAAATGCTTTTTTTAAATGGTCAAATAGGTGGCCAACATATTGGGCACTATATGATGTCCTTGTGTGACAATGCAAGGGGACAATGGAATGGATAAAGAAGGAACAGGATTAATAGTACTTCTGATCTCTTTAATAAATAGTACTTCATGAAGGTGGCAAGATTGATTTGACTCAAAAATAAATAGCCATAATGGAGTACAAAAATACTATATGGATTCCAGTGCAAATTGTGTAAGGAGGCCCACAATTTCGATTTGACAATTGACATAGAGGAACTTCCTTTGATAACAATTTCATAATAGAAAATCATAACAAGGACACTTTGTACCATAATCTGCTCAAAGTGAGCAGGCAATGTCAATACAGTAATTGCAACATTTTCATAGTTTAAAAAAGTACTACAATACACATCAGTACAAAACAAAATATAGATTCTTGATTACAGTAATAATAATAAATTAATATCACAAAATAGTCAGCGACGACTAGAGGAAAATTTCTAGCCGCCCTGCTTCATTTAGTGCGTGGCAGGGCAGCAGCCTCAGTAGTGGCCGCCTTGGTAACAATGCTATTGAGGTAGCTGGAGACACATTCCCCATTCGGCACACACAAGCATACAAACGCTCACAAAACAACCAGTTACACTTAAAAGAGGAGAATGTTAAGAACAAATAAAAAGGACATCCACAACATTCATATACAGACATACACTATCCTATTATTTGGTTTGGACTTCCCTTGACGACTACCAGGGATATGTGAACAGAACTATGATTAAAACTGTTAACAATTAAAAAACAAAAGAAACAAATGCACAGGGAAGGGAAGACAATCACTATAGGAAGCACTTAAACCTGCCATTCTAACAGAACACACTTAAATCACCAAGAGATCAAATTTCACATGACAAAGGTTACATTTTCACAAGAAAAATATATCTGTCACTAAAACGTAATTTGTCACAGGAGACACGACCCCATTTCATGGTGGAGCAAGTGTTTCGTGACTGGCAAAACGAGACTGGTAGTCAACACGTGGCACGTCCACGAATCCAGGACGTTGGCGGAATTCAAATGTTCCCGCGGGGCGAAGCCAACCTTCACCCGGCGCACACTGCCTCCATAGGAACTGCCGGCAGCCGGCTCACTGGGGCGAGGGTCACAGGCGTTGCAGGCGTTACAGGGTGTAGGGGTATTCTTCCAGGTAGCGGCACAGCGTCGTGGGCAGCTCCAGCTCCTTGATGCGCTCGCTGCGCGCCTTGGGCGTCTCGGGGCAGGCCGAGGAGGCCGCCGTCTTGAGCTGTCTGTGCACGGCCAGCCGCGCCAGGTGCTGCAGCCCGGGGACAGTGTGGCGCCGCGGCGCCGTCAGCAAGATGTGGGAGTACACTTGCCCGCACGCATCCACCCACACCTGCACGCGGTTGCCCGCGCGGCTCTGGTGTCCGTCGAGCGCGCTGGCCTGGCTGGCCGGCGGCTGGCAGGGCTGGCAGGGCGGGCAGGCGCGCTTGCCCCTGTTCTCGGCGTAGTGCTCGATGAGCTGCAGCACGCACGGGAAGAGCGGCATGGTGGGCGCCAAGTGGGGCTCCGCGTCCAGCCGGAAGCCGCCCGCGATGTAGAGCAGGCGCACGCTGGTGGGGCCGCGGTCCGTCTGGACGCTCAGCGAGAAGAGGAATCGCGGATCGCTGGAGTCCCGCACCAGGAACGTGCCCGGTGCGGCACTGCGCAGCGTGGCCGCGGACTCCTGCCAGGAGAAGCCCTCGTAGTACCAGCCCGACGCCTTGAGCGCCTGCGTCGTGGCCTGCAGCAGTCGCAGGTCGGCCTCGGGGGTGCCCGCACTGTCCGCGGCCACGGCCTCGGGGGCCAGCGCGCCGCCGGGCAGCACGAAGGACAGCGGCGTTGACGGCGACTGCTCCGGGGCGAACGAGCCGCAGGGCCCGCAGGCGTGCGGCGCGCCGGGCTTGCCGCGGGGGTGCTGCTGGGGCTGCAGCAGCACGGGGGCGTCGTGGGGGTGAGGGCCTCCATGGCCGCGCTCGTGCAGGATGCCCCCGCCCGTCAGCCGGTACTGCACGCCCTTGAGCGCGCAGGCGGGCTGGGGCTGCGGGCGAGGGAACAGCTCCAGCCCCAGAGTGAGTGGCGCGGCGGGCATGGCCGGCATGGCCCACGCGGGCAGTGGCTGCGGGGGCGCCGCCCACGCCGGCAGGGACATGGCCGGCATGGCCAGCCCTGGCGTCGGCCAGGTGGTGGTGGGAGGCGGCGCGGGGGTGGGCATCATCGCCCAGGTTGGCGTGGACCCCGGCTGCCCCGACTGCCATGGCCACATGGGCAAGCCGGCCGGCAGCGTGGCCGTCACGCTGATGCTGGACGGCGCCGCCGACGGCGTCGTGTTGACCACCACATGGCCGCCGTTGAGGGAGGCGGCGCTCGACGCCGTGATGGAGAGGCTCAGCATGGCGGAGCTGGGCGAGTGCGCCGGTGGCGGCACGGGGCTGTGCTGGCCCGGTACCCAAGCGGCAGGGGCAGCGCCGCCGCCCTGTATGGGGGCGGCCGTGGGCCCGACGTCGCAGGGGCACGGCGTGGACGTCGGCGACGTCGGCGGAGGCTGCGTCGGGAACTCGTGTCGGCATTTGGGACACACGGCGGTCAGCACCATGGCGCCATCCCGAAGAACCACCTGCAACACACGCAACACCTGTTTACTACAGCGTTCTGGGAATGGCATTGGCAATGGCAACGCTAGATTGCGACGTGCTGCGCGCTGCGTGCTCGCGTTGCGGGAGGGAGCGCCTCGCCTCGGCAGACAGAGACAGACTCGTCAGCTGACAGGCACCCCTTATCAGTTCGGCGGCTCCACTCCGCAGTTCGCACCGCCGTTCAACCACCGGGTCGATTGCGACAGTCCCGGCCAGGCAGGCAGGCAGGCAGGCAGGCCGCCCCAAACTCGTCAAGCAGAGCCAAGAGCCTGCCGTGCCTGCCGTCTGGTCGCGACTCGTCCTCTGTGCCCTTGTTCACGTTGTTCACCCCGAGGCCAGTGCCCCGCAGCCCCGCTCGGCCTGAGCACCGCGCAGTGTATTTTGCGGAACAATTCCTTCAACGAATACACGATTGCGCGGGCAGGAGTTTTCGCTTCTCGGAACGCAACCTTGACGGTCTCTCCGCCGCCGCGCCGCGCCACGCCGCACCGCCTCTCCGCGGAATGGCGCGGAGTGGAGTGGCCGCGGTACTACTGCAAAAGCACGCCGCCGCGCGGCCCAAACGGCACTCGGGAACACATCCTCGGAAAGCCAATGAATATGCCGAAGCGAAATCGGCACGAACTTGCGAGTCATTACCATGGGGAATCGGGGCAGACAAAAAAAGGGGACGAGGGTATTAAATTTGAAGCCGCGTTCAAACATGCACGCTCATTTCGTCTGCCGGCACGTCCGCCCGCAGCGCTCGAGCGTTTGCACAGCTAAGGTACGTAATCTTCGGCAGGAACAAAGTCTGCCCCGAGGTTGGCTAGGTCGGCAGTGCCGCCGCACGGCGCCGCACGGCCCAAAACGCCGAGTGACGTGGGCGCGATAGGCTCGCGGGTCGTTGGCGCCTGTAAGTCCGCGGCCGAGGCGCCGAGGCTCCCGGTCCACGTGAGCGACGAGCGACGACAGTGACACGTCCGCTTCGGCTCCGGAAGGCCTCCGGACGAGGCCATGACTCACGCCACTCCGCACAATGGTCGGCCGGTCGGTCCGCCTGGCGCTGCCCGCGACGCTGCGGTGCGACTCGAAGAAAGGTGCGCGACACGTCATGCCGAGAGCACGGGGGGCGAGCGCGGGACGCCGTCGGGGAGGGCGGACCCCCCACCCCCCACCCCTCCTTTTCCCGCGGCGAGACCGAAAGCAGACGTGCTGTAAGTACTGTAGTATACGGGCGTGGCACGGCGGCACGGCCACGCCGAGCACGACGACGGCGGCCCCACGGACGGACGGACGGACTGACGGGATGACGGCGAGACCGCGGCGCGGCGACCTGCCGCACGATACGCGGCGCGGCGGCGCGGCCGCCTGCCAGAAGCACGAGCAGAGCACCACGCAGATGGGCTGCCAGCGCCAGCAGGCTGATTCAGAAAGGGCGCCGAGAGAGAGGCGGGTCTCGTCGGCGTCCATACGTGAGGCGACCCGTGAATGCGAGAGAGACCCCCTGCCACCCAGGCACGCCGCGCGGCCGCGCCGGGGTAAAGGGGGTGGGGGGCACCTCCCCCCACGGGGCCACCGTTATATTTGTCGGCGAATTTCGGCGAAGCGCGGCGCGGTGGACGAACGTCGGCCTTTGATTTGTTTGCCGCGTTGGCGCTGGCTCCGCTGGGCGCCGGGCGCTGCCGGGCGTGTGTGCTGAGCCGACCGGGGAGCTGCACAGAGGCGCTCGCACTTGTTGGACGGCCAGCAGAACGATTCCGAGAGTCGTTTTCGTCGCTGTCTGTCTCTCTCGCACCTGCAGGGGACACCCCCATGAGTGCGAGGGAGACAGAGCGACGAAAACGACGACTCTCGGAATCAGTCTGCAGGCGGCCTCGGCGCCGCGTTGACGTCAGCGTCAGGACGACGTCCACGACGTCCATCCACGGCATGGCCGTCTGCCCTTCCGGTGGCGCCGAGCGTCTTGTGTCCGACCCACGCATTCGCGGCGCGGCACGGCACTGCAAGGCTGCAAATCGCGATGCCAGCGTGCCGGGCGCCTCCGCCGCAAATTCGGCCGCGCTATATATATGCTTTAGTCCGGGGGGTCGATACGACAAGACCAACAGGGAGAGTCGGCGGCACTGAAGTAGCGCCGCGGCTGCCGTCGTGCCACTACACTGTATAGCATCAGCATACGTAGCGCCCCGCCGGCGCGGCTTCGCGACTAGCCACGGCCCGCCCAGTCCGACGCACAAAAGAAGTTGCGGGGGAAAACGACGGAGAAGAGAGGATGGTCAGTTCCAGGTTTCGAGGTTGCAGTCCTCGGGCGTGGCCACGCCTGCCACGCCAGCCACTGCACTGCGAGCAGCAGCGCCGATTTACAGCGCCGTTTCGCGGGACTTGGGACGCGCGGCTTCTGCTTAGGGAATTACTGGGCCTGGCCGGCAAGCCAGTGGCGCGGCAGGTGCAGCACTGGTGCAGCACTGGTGCAGCACTGGTGCAGCACTGGTGCAGCCATCGCCACATCATTCTGCGACGCACCGGGAGACTGCTATCGGCGCTCTGTCCCTCTCGCACCGCCGCGGCGCGCCCCACGAGTGCGACAGAGACAGCGCGCCGAAACGGCTCTTCGGAATCGGCCTGCTGGTGCTCATTGTGCAACTCACTTCACGGAAACGCGCCGCGCTGCCGTGCTAGGCCCACGGTGCGCAGTGGACTGATTCCGAGAGTCGTTTTCGTCGCTCTGACTCTCTCGCACTCGTGGGGCGCCCCGTAAAGGTGCGAGAGAGTCAGAGCGACGAAAACGACTCTCGGAATCGGGCTGCAGCAGGGCCGAGCAGCGAGCACCACCGCGCTCCCAATTTCGCGTCGGCCGCGTCCTTGACAGACTCCCGAGAAACGAATGAAAAGCCGAAAGCCCCCGCGGCACGGCCCGGCGGCACGGCTCGGCCCGGTGGTGGTGATGGTGAAAATGGAGTTAATAGGGTGGGGCGTTCGCAGAATCGTGTCGAAAGGACACTTTGGTAACCGGATAGGCTCGCCGAGTATCGGGCCACGCTATTGGAAGGTTGGCAGGGGGAGGGGGCAGGGCAGGCAGGACCTTCGTGGAAGTGTCGCACCTCCGGGAAGGACTCCCAGCACCGGCCGAGCGCTGGCCTCTGCAGGGCCTGCATTCGCTGCACTATGCAGCCGGCCCGCGCGCTGTTGCCACGTCGGCAGCCCCCCCCCCCTCCCCGACCTACCCCAAGGGGGTCGTGGCGAGTAAGCGCCAAATCGGGAACAGCCGGCCGCGTGTGTCCCTTCAGCACCGCCAGTTATGCTCATGAGCACGGCCCCTTTCCCAATCCTCTGCGCGTGCTTGTCCGTGTGCATGCGTGCGCCGCGTGTGTGAGTGCGGTGAGCTCGCAAAACAAGCAACGGCCGTTTTCGCGGAACGCTTCCGTCAGGGAGGAAAAGGGGGCGGAGGTGGCGGGGCGCGGGAATGCGCGTCACCGCCGCCCCGGCCGCCCCACTCCGTCAAATACGCACACAGTCACACGGGCGCGACGTCACGGTAGTCAGTCCGTACCTACTACTGTACCAACCCACGGCCCCGCGGCGCCGCGTCCAATCTCTGGCGCTCCGCCCGCCTGGCCCTGCCTGGCTCAGCGAGTCGCGGCGAGGGTTCCGCGGATTTTGCGACGCGCTGCGCGCTGCAGACCGATTCCAAAGCGGCCTGTCTCTGCCGCACTTGCGGGGCCACAGGCACAGAGCGACTCCCCGGAGTCGCTCGGCACGGCGGATGTGCGTGCCTCCCACCCTTTACTACCTCGTGGGAGAAATCGCCTTGGCGACCGAAGGCGGAATCGGCAGCGAGGACCGGCCGCCAGGCAAACGAGAAACCGTGGACTGATTCCGAGAGTCGTTTTCGTCGCTCTGTCTCTCTCGCGCCTCTGCGGGACGCCCCATGAGTGCGAGAGAGACAGAGCGACGAAAACGACTCTCGGAATCAGTCTGCCGGCCGACTAGTGCGGGCAGTTCCAGTGGCAGTTCCGGCCGACGGAACGGCACTGCCAGCGACACCGCGTAGCGCCAGCGCCTCGCCCCAAAGTCCGGCCCGAGTCCGGCCATCATCATTCCCAGGCCGGTCTAATTGCGACGCGAGGCCTCGGAGCACGCAGCGCCGCAGCGCGTCGCAGCGCCACTTCCAGGACGACGTCGACGCGGCGCCGCGGCCTTCCTGGAAGCCTCCAAGTCTGGAAGCGCGCTACACTGGTACAGTCTCATCGGGGGCGTGCTGGCAAAGGCCGTCGTGGAATAGGGAATCAGAGCGGCTTGCCGGCGGCCCGCCTCTTCGCGCACGCCTCGCCCCGCGCACCCTTGGGCCCCACCGCCGCGACGGCCAGATCGAACGTCCGCCTGACGTCACGGCCTCCGGGCCTGACGGGCCTGCCACGCCAGCCGCCCTACACGCGAATCGAGCTGGGCCGTGGCGAGCCGGCGGCCTACCCCGACGGGGGCCAGCCTCGAGCCGGCAGCAGGGGACGGGGGTCCGACCGGGTCCGACCGGCGGACGATGCCTCTGTCACTTTCGCACCCCTACGGCCTGCGGGGACGCCCCTTGAGTGCGACAGAGACAGACAACGACTAGAGCGCCTTGACGCGGGCACCCGTAAGTAACCGAGCCGCCGGGCGCGCGAGAGACGGAGACAGTCCGAGCGAGAAATAACCCCTTTGAAGCGCCGGCCGCGCTGCCGGAGCAGCGGCAGGGCCCCGCAGGGGGTTGGTTGGGGCTGCGTGCCCCACCAGCCTCGCCGGCCTTGGTCGTGGGAGCGCTGCGTAGCGCTGCGCGCAGTGTAGTATCACTACGGGGTACATGTACTGGGAAAGGCAAAGAGGCTGCTGGCCAAAAATGAACACACAACACACTGCCCCCACCCCGCCCTTTTTGTCATCCTACCGGCCTGGCTGGCCGTGCCTCGCCGCCCCGCCCCCTTCCGACGAACTACTAGGGGTATCCATCCACCGTTTCCAGGCC